ACGGCCCCTGACACTGGGGACACTGCCACTGCGCTCATGGCCCCTGACACTGGGGACACCACCACTGCGCTCACGGCCCCTGACACTGGGGACACCGCCACTGCGCTCACGGCCCCTGACACTGGGAACACTGCCACTGTGCTCACGTTTCATGGCCCCTGACACTGGGGACACCGCCACTGTGCTCACGGTTCACCGCCCCTGACACTGGGGCCAGGTGCATTTCGCCTGCCATGTTTCCATCAGATCCATCAGATTCCTGCAGAGCAAGAGCAGTCAACTAAGTGATACAGTTTAAGCCCTGTGTGCCACCCCACCTTCCATCTCCCAAGCTCCCCATAAACCCACAAGGAAAGGTTACCATGACTCCTGAGCAAACTGCGGCCCAGAGAGGTTCCAGACACGCCCAGAGCCACACAGCCTCTAGGAGGCAGAATCGGGATGTGAACCCAGTCTGTGAGATTCCAGGCATCCCTCAGATTGAAAGGCATGGTCCTCAGGAAATGGCCCCGGCCGACTGGCGTTGGTGCCCTGGCACAGCCCAAGGGCCTTGGAAATGCCATTCTCAAAGTGTTTGCACTGAGACAGCTGCCAGAGAACATCAGGCTCTACGTCTGCCAACTATAAGGGCCTTGAACCTGCGGCCCTGGTTGTGGACACTGTCACAGGCCATGCAGGTTTTGGCTGCCTTCTCCACCAAGGGGGAGGTGCTTCCTGTCAGCAGCTGCCTTCCCCCCCGCCCACTACGAAATTCCCAAAGCAAAGCAAACAGCCATGATTCCCAGGGTGTTGAGGCTCACGCCTCTGGCCCCCAAATCCTGAACATCTCCTGAGGATTATGGACACCTCCAACTTAACACAGGTGCCCAAAAACCTCAGTAGCCTCCCCCATAAATCCCCTCTTCTCCAGGGTTCCCTCCCCATCGTGCAAGCCAGAGGCCAGGTCCTGGGGTCCCCTCCTCCTGGCCTCCCCATCACCCACCTCTCCACCTCCCCCCGTCACCAGACAGGCTCCTTCTGCCCCCACACTACGCTGGGTAGGAAACTGTGGGCTCTTTTCTCACAGAGGCATGGCAAAGCACCTCTCACTAACCTGTGAGTTAGCTATGGGGTCAGAGCTTAGCTATGTGTCCTTGGACAAATCACTTCACCTCCCTGAGCCTTAATTTTGTCATCTGTAAAATGGGGATGATAAAAGCCTCTCTGTATCCTTAGAAGGTAGAATTTTCTGGCACACATCACAACTTCTCAAGAAACAGCAGCTTCTACTGTTGTCACTGTCCTCGCAGTGAGCGCAGTGAATGTGCATGTGTCTGCCAGCATCAACCCTTCCCCATCCAATCCAGGACATGCTCGGTTTCTGTGAGTGGGGACCTATCTCTTTCAGAGATGGGCACAAGACCCAGATCCAACCAAAGACAGCCAACCCCTCCCTCCCGTTTCCACCAGATTTCTGTCGTGGGAATGATGCTTTCTCATCTGGGGGTGGCCAGGGCGTGTGCTGCAAGGACTCCATGAGCCAGAGCTCTTGGGACCATCTCGCCCATGTGCGGAGAAATCCACCTACAGTGGCGTGGATGCAGCAGAATGAAGGGCTGACAGCCCGTGAGGCTAGGCGTTGGCTGCACCTGTTGAGTGCTGGATGCAGCCATGCCTGAAGACATGACTCCTCCTGGACTTTTCACTGATGGAGCCAGTACATTGTTTCTTGGCTGAAGTTAGTGTGGATTAAGTTTCTGCCATGTGCAACCCTAAAGGGTGCTAACAAAACACGTGAATGGGGGGATAGGAACGTGCTTGGGACCAAGGGGTGTCACAGAGCTGGGCTTCTGATGAGGGGCAAGCCCTGTGATTTAGGCCCCTGGACATAGCTTGTGAAGTGCCCAAAAGCAGGAGTCATAGCACTGGCTCATGGTGCTGGTTTATGTTCGGGGCTCAGTGCCAGCCGTCACTATTTTCCTGCAGAGCACTCCAGTGCCCTGAGCACTATTCTGGGGGCTGTGCAGACGTCCCCACCTGTCCTCACAACACCCTTCCTGGGAGGGGGGCTCAGATGTGCCACCGTTTTACAGAAGACAAGATGGAGGCGCAGAGTTCAGGTAACTTGCCCAGAGTCACTCAGTGGGTACATGGTGGCATGGGCGTGAAGCAGTCCACATGCTGGGACACACAGCCGCACGGGCACAGCCTCCTCTTGTCCTTCGCTCTCCCCCACCTGCTCGGAAGATCCTGCCAGTGACTCTTGTGCCTCTGTGAGAAAAGAGCCCACAGTTTCCTACCCAGGCAGGGGCAGCTACTGAAGATCTGTTCCCAGGAACCGGGCTTCAAAGGGGAGAGTGGCAAAGAGCTGGCAGGCTGTCCCTCTGCCCACGGCCACCTCCTGAGACGCCTCCCAATTCGGCCCCACTTGCCAGCTGTCCCTGCTACCTCCTGAAGCACACCCGTCCCACCCCGTCCCACCCCACCCCACCCAGCCCTGCTCCTGGGCCTGCCAGGCCAGGGCGGGGAGGGGCTCTTCAAGGGCAAAAATGTGCCTGACTCCTTGTGTGCGCAGAGCCCCTCCAGGACCAGTGCTTAAGTGAAAGGGGCCTCCCTAAAGGTCAAACAGCTCAGGAGGACGCCCGTCACCACGACACGGCCCTGGGCCTGCAGTGCGGCGTCACTGGTGAACACACCACCACGCACAGCGCCGTCACCTCTGTGCAGGCAGCCCCAAGCCACTGGCGACAGCAGTCAAGGCTCCCTCTCCTCTCCAAGCTCTCTCACTGACTTCACACAGCCCTGGGACGTCTATACTCTGAAGAGCCCAAGCTTCAGGCTTCAGCCTGAGCCCCAGGTGCCTCCCAAGCAGAGGGGCTGGGTTTCTGATGGGCGTGGCCGCGCACAGGCATGTGTGTGTTTATCTTTTGGACACTGGGAATCATAGCCAATCAGGCTTTACCACGAGGGTAATCAGGGCAAAACCTGCGGCTGTTCCACAGCCCACGCCGAGAACGCTGCGGCTGTGCTTCGTCCCCAGATGGGAAGCATGTCCTTCCTCTTGTTTTATGTTTTCTTCTCACTTGTGGTATCTTCTGGCATTCCAAAGCTTCCTAGAGGCATCGTGAAATCCACTCTGGAACAAGGCTGGGTTGAAGTAAATAAGACACACACACACAGACACACACACACACACTCACACATGCACACATACAGACTTTACACTTGCACCGCACGTCATGGTGAACACAACACATTCAGACATGAGGGCCACCTTTGCAGTGAAGAAATTGAGGCTCAGAGAAGCACATGGGCCTGGGAGGCCTATCTGCAGGTCAGTTGGGCCCCACCTTTCCCCAGAAAGGTGGAAAGGAGGGGCTGACCCCCAAGGTGGACCCCCACAGAGCAGGGTCTGTGATGGCACAAGTGGCCTAGCATCCAAACACCCCGCCCAGCTCCAGGCAGGACCCAGGCACCCACAGCCAACTTCTGGCAAGACATCGTCCTCTGCGCTGGGGTCTGGCTGAGCACCAGGGAGCACAGCTGCACTCATGCCAGGAACAAGTTAGAGCCCAGGCCCAGCTGGAGGGCCCTGAGCTGCGGCAGGAAGCAGGCAGGCAAAGGCGGTATTGGGTGGAAGTGGCAGAGCATGAGGCCAGGTAGGACCAGCACTGGGGCAGCTTCATCCTCAAGTGGGGCTCTCAGCAGCCACAGAGCAGCAGGCAGGGGCAGCTCGGGGTCTACTAGAGCTTCCTAGAACCTTCTGGCATGTAGAATGACCGAATGGAGAAGGCACTGAAAGTCGCCACCCAACCCACTCCTGATGCAGATGAGACCTGAGACCAGAGATGCCCAGGGTCACACAGCAAGTAGCCAGGGCACTGCCTCCTAGGCCTTCTCCTCGCCTTGGCCGGAGCCCCAGACCTTCTCCAACCCCAAAATGCTGCCAAACACCCCTGCTTGATCCAGGCCCTGGGGCCCTGACAAGCTGTCCTGGCTGGGATCCCAGCCTGCCCAGTCACCTCAGAGTCCCGGCACCTCTCCATGCCTGCCTCGAGCTCCCAGAGGGATGGAGATCTGCCATGTTGGGAACACCTCTCAGACCACAGCTGTGGTCCCTCAGCCACCTCCCACCCCCTGCCTGGTGTCCCCTTGCTCAGCCTAGCCAAGTGTGTGGATAGGATTCATTCTTTAAACAAATGAGAAGTGTAAACACCTCCATGGGAGGGCCCAGGTACCCGTGGGAGGACCTGTTTAGCCCAGAAAGGAAAACAGATTGGGCCAGTGACCAGGTCACGGGTGCATTCACTAGACACCGTGCCCCAGGGGACTTCCCAAGAAGTGTCTGCTCACAGTGGCAGGTCCTGACCAGCTACGCTCAGCCCTGGCTGCTGACATGCCCCCAGCTCACTGCTGCAGGTGTGCAAAAGGACAGAGTGAAATCCCTGCATTTCTCCCAAAACGAGTTTTCAGTAAGTCCACACCACACTCATTGACTCGGTTCACAGAGGTTTATTGGGTCCCTGCCCCGCGCTGGTTTGGGTTAGTCACTGCACAGGATCTCATCTGGGCTAGCCTGGGAGGGGCAGGTCTGGAGTCAGTGGCAGACATGAAGCCGGGGGTGAGCCCCGGGGCTGTGGAGGCTGCGGTCCCGAGGACGGCTCCAGGAGGACCGCTGAAGAGGATGACGAGCGAGCGGGAGTGGAGTTCAGCCATCTCCTGTCTCCCGGGAGCTGGGAGGGCCCAGGCGGAGGTGAGGGCAGCAGAGGAGGAGGAGAAATGGGGGTCTCCAGGTGGAAGAGGGGAGCAGGTGATAGCATTAGCAGAAGCCCAGAGGAAGGAAACTCCCCAGAGGCTCTCTGTGCTTCAAGAGGCCGGTGGATGGGGACGGGAGACAAAGGGTGAGTGTTGAAGCAGGGCTGAGCACCAGGCAGCAGGGCCGCCGAGGCGCACACACCTGCCGATCGCCAGCACCATCCTCCAGGCATGGACCAGCTCTTGCCTGAAGCCTCAGGAGGTCCTCCCGCAGGGGAACCAAGGGCCATTAGGACCCACCCTACCCCAGAGGGGAGTCTCTGCGACAGCCTCTCTGGGTCCTGGGAGCTGCTCTGGAGAGAGGCTGTGCCCACTGCAAACCCGCCTATCATGCCCCACACTGCAGCAGTGAGGGGAGGCGTCCGCGCCAGGGTCCACCAAGCCCCTCCCTTTCAAGGGCAGACTGCCCCGGGAGGATGGGCTTGGGATCAGAAGGCCATCCAAAGGCCAGCCCTCTCCTGATCTGCCAGGGCCCTGCCGCCAGTCTCCTCCCCGCCTCTCTCCAAGTTGCTCCTGGACACCAGATGGACCCCATCCAGCTTGTCCCTCCTTTTCTTTCCCCTGCCCGCCCCCTGCTGGAGTTGTAAGAGGGCAGGCAGAAAGGGAGGCGGAGGAGGCCCAGCCAGGCTGCGGGGCAGGAGAAGCAGCCCCAGTTCTAACTCTGCTTCCCCCACAGTAGGGCCTGCCAGGACCCTGGGGGCCAGGACCTCTGGGTGATGCCTAGTGCTCCTCTAAGTCATAGGTAGAGCCGGGCCTTTGGCCGGTACTCTCCCTCCTGACCACTGGGACGGGACAAGATGGTAGGGGCAACAGGTAGGAAAAGCCAGGTCTAAGGTGAGCCAAGGGTGCAGCCCTGGAGAGAGATGGGAAGGAGAGACAGGGGTTGCCCTGAAGGAGAGAGGGTCTAGAAGAGGGAGAGCAGTGGAGTGGGGGTCACTAATCCAGGTTCTGTGTTCCAGTAGCCAGTATCGCCGGGACCTTGGGTCTGTCCTCACCTGCATGAGAGGCTGCAGGAGTCAAACTGGCCTTCGAGCTTTGTCCAGTATTCTGGAATCCTGAGGAACGGAGTGCAGTCTGTGGGCCCATGACACAGCAACAGGTCCCCAAGGCACCTGACAGCCCTAAGGAAGGGCTGCTTCCCTGAACATCCCTGGGGCTAGAGTGTGGATCAGATGCTTCCTATTCGGCTGGGCCTGCAGAGGGGACAAGAGAGGCCAATCTTACCACCACCCAGACCATACTTTCAACACAAGGCACATTCACGGACACACACACTTGCGCGTGCACGCACTCGCACACACACGCACACGCGCACACACATGCATGCACGTGCCACCACATCTCAGGCAGCACAAAAAGGCTCTCCCAGCCCCAAGGTGGCTTACGCATTTTCTGAAACTGTGGGTAGGGAGCTTGGGGAACCATCCCATGTGCCTGCACCAAATGCTGTGTGGGTAGGGACAGGCCACAAGCCCTAGACAGACCCCTCCCAGAAATCAGGAATCAGAGCTCGAGAGACTGTGCGGTAAAAGTTGGAACCCTCAACACCCCTTGCCTCTGCCCAGGAGGGGCAACCTCAGAAGTCCCCCCAAAACCTCCTCTCAGAGACCTGCCCTGTAGGAGCCTGCTCTCTCTACTCTCCTCTCTCCCGGCAAAAAGAGGCCAGGAAAGGGGATGACCGACCAACTCAGAGGTGCCCTAATGGAGGGGAGCAGACGCGGTGGGGGCGGGGGGCGGTTCCAAGGAGAATTCCCTGGCCAGAAAGACCTCTATCCAGAGTGGTGAAGGGCAGCTCGGGGAGCAGTGAGGCAAGAGGGAGAGACCAGGCTGGCTTCCCTCTAGGTGGTGAGTTCCTGGGGTGTGCGCCCCTGCCCCAGAGAGCAGAGAAACCGCCTAACACGGAGAAGGAGAAGAGGGGCCACTTTCTCATGCCACCCCGCCGCCAATCCTCCAGACACACCCGGGTGCTTGACCTGCCGAAGCCTGGAGTCACAGGTCCAGCGGGGAACTCACGGGACAGAGGGCCCTGCCAAAGCCACGAAAACCGGAGGGCGGACCTCCGGCCAAGGCAGGCGTCTATGCGCGCCCGCTGGGGCCCTGGTCCTGCGCTTGGCTTTTCCCGACACGTTCCTTCGCTGCCGAAAGCGATTCGCCCGCGCCCTATCGAGCCCAGCCAGCTCCTACCTCGGCCCGGGCGGTGAGCGCTGTCTCCGTCCTGAGAAGTAGTTCGGCGGTTGGTCCCCGGGGCCGCAGGCGCACGGGACGCTGGTGGCGGCGGCTTCGGACTTGGGCTCCGGCCCCGCCGCTCCAGACAAGTCCCCGCAACTGCGAGAGTGTCCCGGGCAGTTCAGCTCCCCAGATGGGGTACAGACTCTCGCGACCTGGTTCAGGCCCTGCCCTGGGGTACACAGCGGTCCAAGGCGAAACGAGACTTGCTCCCGGCCGCTGGGACCCTAGGTCAAGGCACCTCCCCGCCCCATCGCCCCTGAGCCAAAGTCGCCAACCCCGCGCCGCGCGCTGCAGCGAGGGATCAGAAGGTCTCGGACGCGGCCGCAGGGCTGGCCAGGGCCCCTCGAGTTAGGGAGTTGCCCCGCACCCCTAAACGCTCAGCACACATTTACGGTTGAAAGTACGCACTTGACGCGTCCGGGCGCCTCCGCGGTGAGTCGCGCCGCAGCGCTCGGGGTCCACGAAGGTGGCTCAGTTCGGGCGCTCCAGTCTCGACGTTCCCGGGGTACAGAACAACGTCCGGGGACGAACGGGACGGGTGCGCCCGGCGGCCGGGGCTGTGCTGGGCGAGGCAAGCGGCGAGAGGGGAGCGCTCCGGCGTTCAGGCAACAGCTACCCCTAGTGGGAGAGCCGCCCGGGGCCGGCGCCGCCCCGCGCCCGCTGCCCCGCGCCCCACGCCCGTGGCGCCCCGCGCCCGGGTCGGCTGGGGACGCAGGGCCGGCGCCGCTTCCCCAGCCCTCCGGTCTCCGGCGCCGCGCGCTAACCCGCTCGCGGGCTCTGCCCTCCGCACCTCTCAGCCGGGCCCGGGCGGCCGCTGACCTGGGAACCGCGGCGCCCCGCTGGAACGAGATGGGACGGGGCGGGCGCGGCCAGGGCGGCGCGGGCTAGGGCGGCGCGCGGAAGCCTCGGGCAGCAGCGGGGGGCGCGGAGCGCTGTGTGCGTGGCGGGGCGGTGCGGGGGGCGGCCGTGTGCGAGGCGCGAGTGTGAGCGCGCGCGGAAGGCGGGCAGGCGGGCGGGCTCCGGCAGGCGAGCGGCGCCCGCGGGCGAGCCGGGAAGGCGGCGGGAACGCAAAGTTGCCTCCTCGCGGGCCGGCGTCCTTGGCGGGGCGGGAGCCTGGGCCACTGAAGCGGCGGCCGCGGACCCGGCCTCCCGCGGCACCTGGGCAGCGGCCCCGCACGAGCGGCAGCGGCGTGGGCGGCGTTGGCGGCGGCGCGCGGGAAGCGAACCGGAGCTCCGGCGCGGCTCGGCGGCCGCCGGGGAGCTCGGCTCAGGTGCGCGGCGAGAGGGGCGCGGGCCGGAGCCAGGCGGCGGGGACTAGGGCGGTGCGCAGCGCTCGCGCCAGCTGGAGGACCTCCCCAGCGGACGCTCAGGTCCCTGGTCGGGCTCCTGGTCCCTGGCGGCTGCGGCGACCAGAGTACCCCGCCCCTGAGAGCTGGCTGCGGGGCCCGGGCCCGGCCGCTCCGCCCTCCGCCCGCCTGCGCCCGCCCTTGGCCCAGGATTTCTAGGGCATTGGCCGCGCAGCTGGGTGATCCCTCCGGGCTCAAGTTGCAAGGGGGCGGGCCGGGCCGGAGGTGGAGTCTCCCGCCAATTGAAGCCTCCGCTATAAATTGAACTCCCTGCACCGCCGAAGCCCAGATGCCTCGCCAGGCCGCGTCGCGGTTGGTGGTCGGAGAGGGCGAGGGGTCCCAGGGGGCTTCGGGGCCTGCAGCCACCATGCTCCGCTCCCTGCTGCTTCACTCCTTGAGGCTCTGCGCCCAGACCGCCTCGTGCCTCGTGCTCTTCCCGCGCTTCCTCGGCACGGCCTTCATGCTCTGGCTCCTCGATTTCTTGTGTATCCGCAAGCATTTCCTGGGCCGCCGCCGCCGGGGGCAGCCCGAGCCCGATGTGGAGCTCAATAGTGAAGGCGAGGAGGTGCCCCCCGACGACCCGCCCATCTGCGTATCCGACGACAACCGCCTCTGCACCCTGGCGTCGCTCAAGGCAGTGTGGCATGGCCAGAAGTTGGATTTCTTCAAGCAGGCGCATGAGGGCGGTCCGGCGCCCAACTCCGAGGTGGTTCTGCCCGACGGCTTCCAGAGCCAGCACATCCTCGACTACGCGCAAGGGAACCGCCCGCTGGTTCTCAATTTCGGCAGCTGCACCTGACCACCGTTCATGGCGCGTATGAGCGCCTTCCAGCGCCTGGTCACCAAGTACCAGCGCGACGTCGACTTCCTCATCATCTACATCGAGGAAGCACACCCCTCCGATGGCTGGGTCACCACGGACTCCCCCTACATCATCCCACAGCACCGGAGCCTGGAGGACCGGGTCAGCGCAGCGAAGGTACTGCAGCAAGGTGCACCCGGCTGCGCTCTGGTCCTTGACACCATGGCCAACTCCAGCAGCTCGGCTTATGGCGCCTACTTCGAGCGTCTCTATGTCATCCAGAGTGGCACCATTATGTACCAGGGAGGCCGGGGCCCCGATGGCTACCAGGTCTCTGAGCTGCGCACTTGGTTGGAGCGCTATGATGAGCAGCTGCATGGTGCTCGGCCCCGGAGGGTGTAAACATCCAACGCACAGTTGACTGAACTTGCTGGGCTGCGCCTTCGAGCCTTCGAAGCCCACGTGCAAGCGCCTCAAACCAAGTCACGCTTGGCGAGGCCCCAGTGACACAGATGTGCTGAGCCACCATTCCAGACTGAGTCTGCGCCCTCAGCCACGTAAACAGTCTCCCCTACCTCCCTGAGACTCTGCTGTTGAACTGTCTCATTCACACCTGCCTGGCTTACTGGAAATCCTCTTCTGAGCGCGGGATACGGCTTTCCCTTGTCCGTGTGCCTCTAGAGGATTTGCCTTTACAACAGCACTTTCTTACACCCGCTCCCCAGCGTGCCCTCAACCAAGTGCTTTGACCCAGTGCTTCCCGCAGCGCAGAGAAGACCTTGGCCACGCCCGCGCGCTCTGAGGCCCTGAGCGCAGCTGGGTTCCAGGAGGCTTTCGGCTCAGCTGAGCTAGTTGCCTGGCACCCACCTGTCGCGCGTGGAGAGGGGTTCCCTGTTGCTTTTGTGTTATTTCCTATCTCTGGTAGGGGAAGGGATGTCGGGGATGGGGAGGGGTGGGCAGGGCAGTTTCCCCCACTTGTTTTGGGTGCACAGGGGCCCCACTGCTGATGATGAACTGTCTCTAACTGGTCTTGACCACGAGCTAGTTCTGAATTGCAGGGGCCTCAAAGCAGCGCCTGAACCTTGAGGGGGAGAGTGCTCTGGGTTTCCGTGGGGAAACCACCTTAAATGGGTGGGGGGAGGTTTGGTTGTCTGCTTTGGGACCAGAGGAAGATTGCTTGAGAGGCATTGGCGAGGTTCGCAGCGCCCCAGGGAGAGAGAAAGGGCTGAGACTCCTGGGGAATGGGGTTGGGGTGATGGAGTCCGGGGAAAGAGAGGTGGGGGGAGAGCCTTTGGTCCCCAAGTGAGGGGCATCCTAGGCAGAGCTGCTGATTGTGGGGCTGAGAGGTGGAGGGCCCCTGATTCGAAGGCCATTTGGTGAGTGTTTTGCTGGAAACAGTTCCTGTATATAAACTTCTTTCAATCTCCAATAATAAAGCCTTGAAGTAAACGACTTTCTGGTTGCCTTTGGTCCTTTATTTTCTTTTCCCTTTGAATAGCAGCAAGAATTAAACACACATCCCTCCCTCGAGTCCCCAAAGTGGCCTTGGGAAGCTGGGCGGGAAGGACCCTGGGCTGGCAGGGGCACTGGAGGAGGAGGGAGAAGGAAGAGGGTCTGCCGCGATGCCCAGGGAGCTCCCACAAGCGCGCGCGCCCACCTGGACGGGGACTTTGGGGGCGGGAGAAGAGCAAGATAGCGGAGCGCCGCGGGGTCCTGGAAAGCAGCGGGAGGGACGCGGGGATCCTCTCTTGCTCCCGCGCGCGCACTCACGAATAGATGCAGCTGCCCCTGCAGCCGCCCGTCTAACTTAACTGAGCAACTGAGCATCGGGCGATGTGTGGAGACGGTGGTGGGAGGTGGAGGGCGAGAGGGGCTTTGAACCTGGTAAAGCACCTCTCCAGACCATTGCAGGCAGCACTGCGCACTGACTCCTCCCTGACCCCTTTCCCGCACCTGCAACCTCGCCTCTTCCCCAGCCCCTCCAGGCTCCTGGAGTCCGCGGGAGTCGCGTAGTGGCTGAGGGGCGCCCTCACTCCAGCTTCGGCTCCTACAGCGGGGCCAGCGCGCTGTTGGGTGCGCCCCCTGCCAAGGCCCCCTTCCTCCTCCCCCCCGCTTCCCCCCGCCCCCCGCTTCTCCAAGCTCCAGTCAAACCCCACCACCCACTCCCGGCTGGGAAGCCGAGGTGGGGGATTACTGGGGTGAACCGAGATAAACCACAGAGAGGAGAATGGTGAATTACAGGGTAGGGGCGGGGGTTCGGGGCGTTAGACACAGGTCCCCGCCTGCAGTCAAGGCCAGGGCTCCCGCGAAATCCCCGCCCTCACTCTCTCGCCTGCTATGCCCGGAGGGAGGGCGACGCCGGGGGCTCCGGGCTAGCTTGGCCCGCAGCCCCCTTTGCCAGAAAAGCCTTGAACAGAAAGTGAGAGGTGGTGGATACCGTGAACGGCGCTCAGGCTGGAGTGTGTGGACCCAGGTGAGGGGACCCGGCAGGTGAACTTCCCTGGCGCGCCGCGACAACGCCCGGGGAACCCAGGACTGTCCGGGTCGCCAGGGGTGGGGGTGGGTAGTGTCGGTTTGCGCTTGGATGTGAGCGCGGGTTCACTTGGCAGGGTCGGGTAGGGGCGCGGCTGGGCGCGGCAGGCGGGATGGAAGAGACGCCCCCGTTCAGCCAATGCAGTCCCCAATTCTGCCCCCAGCCCCTACGCTGCTCCTCCGTAAAAACTTTTTGGAACGGACATCCTAAATTAGGGGATTTGTTTTTCCTTTAAAAGAATCTCTATTGGAAAATAAAGAAAAATTTGGCACCGACGAGATTTTTGCTTCTCCTCCCCACTACCACCACCCCCTACCCTACCTCCGCGCACGCTTCTTCTCATCCCGAAACCGCCGGGAAGAAAGGGAGATCGCGGCCGGGACGCGGAGAGCCTTCCCCCGGACCGGGTCTTAGTGGCGCGGAGGGCGGCCCGGGACAGCGGCAGCCTCCCGGCCCAGCAGAGCGCCCTCCAGCCGCTCTGCATCCCCTCCTGTAGCTTAGGGGTCTCCTTGGACGCGCCAAGCGACCTCCTCCCCTAGCCAGAAAGCCTGCACCCCCTGGGCCTCCTGGAGCTTCCCAGATCGAAACTCCGGAGCGCGCTTTCGCGCCTCAGCGCGGGGACCTGCAGCGCCAGACACTCCGCACGCGGTCCGCACCCGCTCCCGGTCGCCGCTCGGGGAACTCCGAGCACCCCCCACTTTTTTATTTCTCTCTTCTTCTTCCTTCCCTTCCTCCCTTCTTCCCCTTCCTCTTTCAGTTTCTTTCTCTCTTACCTTCCCCTCTTTCTTTTTCTGTTTCTTCCTTTCCTTTCTTCTTTTTTCTCTCTTTTCCTTGAAAATGTCCCGTGAAAGCAATGCACACTCATTGGCGATATAACAGAACTAAAAGCAATGCAACGTAACTCCCCGTGAGTGCGCCCTTGT